AATTTTTTTTTTTTGTTTTAAAGCCGTCAATTATTATTATTATTATTATTATTATTATTATTATTATTATTATTATTATTATTATTATTATTATTATTATTATTATTATTATTATTATTATTATTATTATTTACGATGCGATGTTTTTGATTTTTACAAAGAAATTAAAAAAACTGTTAAAAACACGATTTGAAAACCCGCGAAAAATTTTAAAGAACAAACAAAATCGTTTATAACATTTTGATAAGTAAGACGATTTGTTTAATAAAAGGTGATAATAATAATAATAATATTATTTATTTAAAAAAAAAACCAGCGTAGGTGGGATGCGTGAGACGATATAAAGAATTTTTTTTTTTTTAATATTAGAAAAGTACTTTAGAAAAAAATATTCGCAGGGGAAGGGAGGCGGGGGGTTGAAACCTGGAAGAGATTTTGAAAAATATATATATATAGACGACAAGTAAAATAGTAATAATAATAATAATAATATTAATATTTTCAAAGTATTAGATAGAATAAAGTTATATAATAATTTTTATTTAGTTGTTGACATTTTAGAAATATTTTTGTGTTTGTATGTGTGTAACATTGAAAATTTGTAAACGTTATGAGAAAATTTCTTTCTGGATCTTATTCCAAAAAAAAAAATTAAATATCTGGAGAAAAGAATGAATTATGAATGTCGACATTTTTTTTCTTTTTTTTATCTCGCTAATTATTTTACTTTATCTTGTTGAGTGCTTTTTTTTCCTTCTTCTTTCAATTCTTATAATTTCATTATTTTTTTATTAATTTTTTTTTTTTGGTTGTTTCTTACTGGAATTCCAAAAGCTTTTTGATACAAACAAAAAAAATTTAAAATATTATTATTATTATCATTATTATTATTATTATTAATAAAATAAATGGGAAATTATTCATGTTTTTATTTTTTAAGTAAAATTACATACATGACCTATTTTAAATAATTTCTTTTTTTTTTCACTCCAGCAAATTATTGTAATTTTTTTTTTTGTTAATTTTAAATTTTTAACATCATGGAAAAAATAAAATTATTATTATTATTATTATTATTATTATTATTATTATTTTAAAACACTCCTCCAATTTAAGTAAAGTACAAACATAAATTTAAAAAAGAAATAACATTTTTAGGTAAAAGTGTTTTTTTTTTTTTTTTACCTTTGAAAAAATTAATCGAATTAACAACTTCCCCTCCCCCCTTCCCACCTACCCTCCAAATTAATTGAAACACGATCAAAAAAGGTTTTTGTATAAAAAAGTTTTCCCTCAATCCATCCTCCTTCCACTCCACCGCGTTTTTATTTTCCATTTTCATTTGTAAACACTTTCATAATTGACTTATTTTTAAATAAAAATTTTTTTAATTTTAGAAAAATTTTTTGCGTGCGCGTGTGCGTGCGTGTGTGTGACGTCATCACATCAAAAATTAAAAAAAAAAAACGAAAACGAAAACGAAAACAAAATCTCGAACCTTTTAACATTTTTTGATTGACGTTTATTTCATTTTTTTTTTTGCTGTTGTTGTTTTCCTTTTTTCCCCATGAAAAAAAAAAAAAACTTTTCCTTTTTTTTTTTTTTTTTTTTTTTTTAAAAATTTTAAAAATATAAAAAAAAAAAAAAAACCTTTTTATCATTGACACAAATTACAATGAAAAAAAAAAAACCCGTGCCCTGTTATAATGTATTTACAATGTAAAATTTGTTGTCATCACGTTCGTTTGTCATCATTTTCCATTGATATTTTAACCAAAATCTCATAATAATAATAATAAAAATAATAATAATAATAATAATTTATTAAACTTTATTCATCACGACTCACCCCGATTGATGGTGATAATAATAATAATAATTAAAATAGGTTTTTTTTATTTAATAACATTCGCGAGGTGCGGCATAAAAAAAAAAAAAAAAAAATTTTGCAATGATTTATCAAGTAAGTAGTAGTCAGTCAAGGAAAGGATAGGGTTAATCACCGATTAGTTTATCCCATGTTAACAACCAGTTAGTTAATTAATCGTTTTCGTTTATTTATTATCGTTACGGTTATTATCGGTTTATTATCGTTATTATCATCATTATTAATAAATTTTAAATCGTCGATTTGCAAAAAATTATTATTATTATTTTTTAAACGACGAAATCACGTGAGAGGACGGTAAATCACAAAAGGTACGAAAATTTAAAAAAACCTTTGATATCAAACACCGAAAATATTTTTTAAAATAAAAATAATTCTTATCAAAATGATAAGAACGTGGGGGGAGGGAAACAAAAAAAAACAATATGGCGAAACCTCAAGTTTAAAATTTTTTTGTCTGGGTTGGGGGGGATTAAATATATATTTTTAAGAATATATAAAATAAAGAAAATTTTAAATTTATACATTTATATATTAAATCTCTCATTTTGTTTTCGTGATAATAATAATAATAATACTATAAGTCGTTTTTAAAATTAAGTAAATTTTATATATAAATTTTCCATCGAATGGATTTATATAATAATAATAATAATAAATGTATATTTTTATATATATAAATTTTTTTTTTGTATATTGTTAATATTGATAACGCAGTGAGATTGTTATCAATGTGGTTGTTGTGTTTGTTGTTGTTGTGTTTGTTGTTGTTGTTATCGGTTGTTTAACAAAAAAAAAAAAAAAAGAAGAAATTTTGTGTTTAACCTTTAAAAATTAAAGTGAATTAATAATATATATAATTAACCTTTAAAATATTTAAACAATTTGGTCAAAGTCATTGAGTCGAATAAAAAAAAATTGACCTGAATAAATGAACATAAACCTGAAATTAAACATTAAAAAAAAAAAGTAAACAACAACATAACAGGTCAAAAAGTTGAATTATTATTTTATGATTTAAATTTTCCAAAAAAAGAAAAAAAAGAAAAATTTTGTGAGTTTTTTCATTTTTTGATTAATCGTTTGAATTTTTTTTATATATAAACCGGCGCCATAAATTTAAAAAAAACAACCGTATACTCCCCCCATCACCACCACCACCTCCGTACAAATTCGGGTTTTTTTTTGGAAAATTATTAAAGAAGGAAATTTTTAAACATTTTCCAAAAATTTCTAGAAAATTTTTTCTAAAGCCGAAAGGAAAGAAAACGTTTTGAAAAAAAAAAAAAAAATTTTTTTAAATGTTTTAAAGAAGGAAAGAAAGACAGAGAGAGAGAGAGAGAGAAAGTTTTTTCTTTGTTTAATTTTACGTAATAATATGTTAATATTTCACTGACACAACTTGCGCATTTATTATTATTATTATTATCATTTTAAAACTTTTTTTTTCTTTTTGTCTTTTGTTGTTGAAAAATAAAATTCGATCAGTTTTTAAATATTTAACACGCATAAGCATTCACTCTCTCTCTTTCTTTCTTTCTCTCTCTCTCTCTTTCTTTCTCTCTCTCACTTTCTTTCGATTTTGTAACGATATGAATGATTTGATGAATATTATTTTAACATCGGGCTTTTTTTTTTTTTTTTAAAGTTCAAAACAAGCAATAAACGCTTGAAGAAGAAAAAGAAAAAAAAAATTACAAAATAATCTAACAAACATATTAACAATTTTTTAATGACGTCATAAAATAACTTTTAACCCGCGACTTGTTTTCATTTTACCGCCGTTTGTTTGTTTGTTTTTTTTTTGTTTTGTAATAACGAGGCGAACAAACAAACAAACAAACATTGTGTCGATCGACCGCCTGAAAATCAGGTTTTGCGTGAGATGTCCGTCCGTCATTCACCTACGTCGTCGTCATCATCATCATCATTATCATCATCGGAAAAAATTCTCCTTATCAAACGATATTATCGCAACGGATTTTCATTATTATTAATAATAATAATAATAAATTAAAACGTGAAACACGGTCTTAAATGATGATGATGATATTAAAAAATTATTATTAAACGTCAATCATTTTATCGACAATAATAATAATAATAGGAATGACGAAATTAATAAATTTTTATTCGAGTCGTTTGTTTTCTACGTGACGTCACAAAATTTTTTAATTTAAAAAAAAAAATCAATAATAGAACAATAATTAATATTTAAAAAAATCGGTTAAGAGAAAAAATTAAAAATGGCGAAAAAAACCTTTCAAAAATTTTCATTTCTATTAATTATTAAAATGTTTTTTAATTAAAAATTAAAAAGGAATCTCCTCCCCCTCCTCTTCCTTCTTCTTTTCTTTCTCTTTCATAACCACCCCCATCCCTCTTTCATAACCAAGGTCCCCCACATATTTTAACGATTTTAATAACCGTTCGACACGATTTCAGGTAATAATTTTCAACGTCTGTTACAATATTTTTAAAAAAAAAAGGGAAAAATTTTAATTTACTAGCTCCGCCCCTGTATACATTTTTATAATCGTTAAAAAATTTTTTTTGTCGTTTGTTTCTTTGAAGTGGAATAATCGTCTCTCGTATTTTTTTAAACAAACAAACGATAATAAAAAGAGATGAAAAAAAAAGTAAAATAATTTTGACGTAATAAAAAAATTTTTTTTTTTTTTTCGTGGTTATAGAAAAAAAAAGTGTCTGTTTCTTTTCAACTTGTGACGAAAACAAATAATTGTGATTTTATGCTTTTTTTTCGAGAGAGAGATGATCACAAAGCACTAAAAAAAAAAAACTTGTAATTTTTTAAATGGACAATTAAATTTTGAAATTTGTTAACAATTTTCAAATAAAAAAAATAAAATAAAATGTCGCCAAAAATAAGAGAGAGAGAGAGAGAGAGAAAAATTTTTTTTTGTGCGACACACAATTAAACAATTTAGCCATTTAATTTTTTTTTTAAAAAAAAAATGAGTAACGATTATAAAATTTAAACAAAAACTCGAAGGTTTAAAAAAAAAATAAAATCAATAATAATAAAAATGTCGTCGTTTGTCGTAGTTTTTTTTTTTTTTAAATTTTTTTTTTTTTTTGTTTTTTTTTAGACATGTTGCTGAGTTTTGCGTTTTTTTTAATACCGGTTGTCGCGGTGACCGGTCAACAATTTAACAACGCCGTGAGAAATGGTTATTTACCACCCGTTTCACCTTCTTCTTCCACGTCACCATCGGATTCTTTATTTAAAGCCGAACAAAGCAGACAAAGTATCGAACTGTCGGAAAAAGATGCACCGCTTTGTAGTTACGAAGATTCAAAATCTGGATTATGTTCTCACGATGATAAAAAAATTCAAAATATTTTCGATAGTATAAATTCAAAATTGGAAAAATTTTCAAGTCCGAAAGCCACGGTACAAACGGTTAAAGAAACTACAAAACCAAATTATTCAAAATTTAACGGTGATGGTTCAACCGTCGCTTTTGAAATACTCAATCCGAGAACTGATAATGTTATACCAGTGACTACAATCAAACCAACTATTCCTACTACAATCACTACTACCACGACAAAATTTAAAAATGATTTATTTGCTAATAATAAAATTGAAGAATCTCGTGCTTATCTTCCGCCTGTACCAGAATATTCCGGTGCTGCTCAAACACTAGACAGTGCGGTTAAAGTACCACAGAGGGAGCCACAAAATAATAATAATAATGATGATCATCACCATCACCATCATCATCATCATCACGATGAAAATTTTGATATTTGCTCCGATCCGTTTCATTCATTTTTATGTGCGCCCTTAAAAGCAAGAAAGCGAATCACGGGAGCTTTACCGGAAAGATTAGGTCAACCTTCATTTAATGAATTTCGTAACGTTTTATTTCCTTCCAAGAAGCCATCATTAATAAATAACGAGCCAAAACTTAGTTCACCATCGAACATAATTGAATCTACTTCTTTTAAACCTACTACCACTACTACTTCAAAACCTACTTTCTTACCGACATTTTTAACAACTAAATTTCAAGGAGAAAATTCAAACGTGAACGACAGATTTTACCTTCCTCCAGTACTACCGGGTAATCAAAATTTTAATTCTTTTCCCGTTAGACCGGAATCATCGAACACTGTGACGCAAACTACAAAATTTCAAAGTTCTTCATCAATTTTCAATTCCCCGCAGACAACGTTTTTAAATAATTTTCATTCGAATAATTTAAACGATCAGAATAAAATTTTCCAACCGACGACAGAAAAAAAATATCTTAACGATTTAGTGAATAACGTACAAAATGTTAAATTTGACCAAGTACCCGTGAAAAAAACAAATTTACTACCTTCGAATACGATAACGACGAAAAATCAATTTTTATCATCCTCTAGTGCTACATTTTCTAAACAACCGGAAACAACATCAAATCCATTTTTAAAAAATAACGACCGATCCCAACAGGAAAATTCTTTTCTATCATCTCTAGGACCCAACTTATTTAATACGAAAAAATCATCCACGTCTTTTGCATCCAACATTATATCATCTGTACCATCTGTAACATTTAATAACAAAAAACCAGACGATAATAATGAAAAAATCACGACATTTTCATCTAGTTTCGTACCGACCAACGTTCCAAATTTATTTACCGACATTAGTGTAAGTGGCAAAGGTCAACCGACGTTCACACCAACATCGACAGCATTTAACAATTTTGCTTCTTCTTCCAAATCGACATTACCACCGGCAGCGAATTTCATCGCGACAACATTAAGACCCTTTTCGGAAAAGAATTCATTATTATCATCATCCGTAACAAATAATATTCTGAGAACGAATCAAAATGAACAATCGTCACCATTTTCTTCAAACGTTCCGTTAAATTTAAATAATGAATATTCATCAACAATTTCTAAATCGCAAAATCAATTAACGACAACAATCAAACCATTCACTACGACGCCATCAAAATCCGTAACGACATCAACGAAAATAATTGAAAAATTTACAATAAATAATTTAATACCAACCGCACAACAATCAAACCCGGCGGTGACATCTCAAGGTAACCCTCAAACTCTAGTTCAAACGGAAAACTATGAAAAATCATTATTATTTAAAAATAATAACGACGGCAACGTCATTTGCAACGATTCATTTCAAAATTTTTTGTGCGCTAAGAAGGATGTAGCTGGTGTTACCGGAAATGTTTTGACCAAATCAACGGAAACGTTTAATGGCGTCAACGCAGAAATAAAACCGTCGTCCACTTTTCAAAGCTTAACGACTCAGACAAATCTACCACAAAACACGGTAAGAAATGGATTTTCTCAAAATCAATACAAGCCGTCGTCGACAAGAGGAGACTCATCGTCACTTTTTACCACTTCCGGATCGGACGAAGGATATACTTATCCGAAACCTAGCACGGTATTTCCGCTACCGACAAAAACGAAAAGTACATTTCTTCCGGTGACGACATATAAACCAACGACAAAATTTATAACAAATGATTTTTCTGAATCGAACGAACAAAAATCATTTACCGGATATAATTACCCAAAACCACCGGAACCTTTGCTACCCCAAACGGACGAACAAAAAAATTTTGAAATAATAAAAACGACATCGGTAAAATACGATTATCCAAAACCGGAAAGAAAATTTTTATTGCCGACGGAAGAATCGAGAACCGTGACACAAAAAACAACATTGTCATCATCATCATCATCATCATCATCATCGCCGACAAACACTCCTTCGGCATCGACAAACATCGCATCAAAAGGTTACTTTTATCCGAAACCGCAAGAAAGCTTAGAATTACCGCAAAAAAAGGGTTACGATTATCCAAAACCTAAAAATCAATTAAAACTTCCGGCGGAAAAAGAATTCAAACCATTATTTTCCGATCTTCGACAACTTCTTTGGAAGGTTTAAGCGATTTAGGTTCCGCTTTATTTATTCCAGTTAATAAACTGGACAAAAGAAGCAGCGACGGGAGCGACGGTGACACCGACGGGAATCCGACACTGTTAACCTTCTCCTCTCCATCTTTAAAAACTCCAAAATTTGGAGAAAGATTAAGAAAAAGAGAAAATAAATTTTTTTAAAATAAACTTTTAAAACGGAAGCAGAAGAAAACAAAAAAAAAAAAGGGAGAAGGATAACGTGTTGATTTTTTTTTTTTTTACTTAATTTATATTCTATTAATAATATTAATTTAGTTATTTTAATAAAAAAAAAATTTTTTTACGTTTACTTATTATATTAATAAATAATAATAATAATAATATCATTCGATTTGTTACAATAATATTCGTTTTATTTGCTAATAAATGAAATACCCCCCCTCCCCTTAAACAAAATTATTACTATTATTATTATTGTTTTTTTTTATATGGTTTTTAGTTTTAAATAATATTATTAATAATGAATGCATTATTTTGTATATTTTTATTTTTTACTTTATGTATTTTATTATATAATAAATAAATATAAACTTTTATTAATACTATTATTATTATTATTTTGTTTTTATTTATTTATGTACATAAGGGTCGGCATTATGTAAGTTTATAAAAAATTTTTTCCCCCGTCGAAACTATTTTCGGTCCGTTGTCAAATTAATTAATTCTCCGATTGATTGATTGATTGACGGACTCGTTACATGATAAGATAAAATGAATGGCGGGGGTTGGGGTAGGGGAGTGGGAGGAGAAGGAGGTTGGGGGAAAAGCTGCGAAATGAAAACTGCACATTAAGACAAAGTAAAAACAAACTCATTTTGTTTCGTTAATAAAAATCAACAAACTCCCCTCTCCCCACCTTGTCCTCCCTTTTAAAAACCTTCCGAGCTGTTGTTGTTTTTTTTATTATGTTGTTATGAAAATGTTTGTTGTTTTTGTTGTTGTTGTATTCTCTTATTTTTTTTCCATTAGCTCTCTCTCTCTCTTTGTATTTCTGGAAAACCTCAACTAAACTACTATGTAAATAAAAAAAAAAGAAACATTAACTTGTTTATTTATGTCTTTTCATGACACTTTCCCCCCTTATTAATATATAATTAAAAAATTTTGTTTCCATTTTTTTTCATAACAAAAAAAAAAAAAACAAATATATTTATTTTCGATTTAAATAAATAAATATATATATAGTTAAAACTATATATATATATATATATATATATATAAGCTATAAGTAAAACAAATCGATTTATAATGAGTCGAAAGGAAAATTGTTTATAAAACGGTTGATTGTTTTGTCTATTCATTATTTTGTAACAATTAAAATGGATTTATAATAAATGACGTCATATTATTATTATTATTATTATTATTATTATTATTATTTTTGACTAAAATTTTTGTCTTTCATTTTAAAAGTTTTTTTTCTTTTCCAAAAAAAAATAAATAAATTCGTATTCCAGAGAGTTTTATATAAACATATATTTATTTATTTTTTTTTATCATCTTATTACGTAGACAACGGGAAAAAATTGGTCCTTAAACGTTTTACCTTCTGGAGAAGACAAAGAAAGAGAAAGAGAGAGAGAGAGAGAGAAAATTTGTGTCAACGTGAAAAATAATATAGACTCAACCGTGACTTTATTTTAACAATCATGAATGTCAAAAATTTTTTTTTTCTTTCTCTCTCTCTCTTTTGCTGGAGAAAATATAAAAATTTTATTATTATTACTATTATTATTTATTCATTTATTAAAGCAGAAGAAATAAAAAAAAAAAAATTTTAATCGAACGATAGAATTAATAATAATAATAACGAAAACATTTCGAAAAAATGTAAACGCGGCCGAAACATTTTTTTTTTTGTTTGTAAATTTAAATATGGCGATTTTATTACTTTATTATTATTATTATTATTCTACACCGTGATACATGACGTCACGTATATATCACACACACACACACGAACCACGTAAAATATAAAAAAAAATTTTTTGAAAATATTAAAACGAAAATAAATTTATTGAGTACAAAACAGGAAAAAAAATTTTTGTTTTTGTTTAAATGAATGGACAGCCCTGGATTTTCGTCACACGCTTTGTTTTTTTTTTTTTTTTTTTATAAACAATTTAATTTACTGTTAAATTCATACGTTCCTTCTCGTTTTTTTTTTTTTATGCGAGTTTCTGTTTTGTACGTACTTTTTTTTGTTTTTTATTAATAAAAAGCAGACGAAAACAAAACATTTATTGTTATTATTATTATTATTATTACTATTTTATTTTTTTCATTGTTTAAAAACAAAAAAATGTTTAAAAATGAAAAATTATTTTTTAATATTGTTGTTTCATTCAATTTAAAATTATTTGCGGTAAGTAAATTTTCTAATAATAATAATAATAATAAACAAGAATTTATTATTATTATTATTATTAATGTTTTTTTAAATTATGGCCGAACGGAACAAACGTGAGTAATAAAAAAAAAAAAACAAAAAACAAAACAAAAAAAACAAACGTTTTTTTATTTTTATTTTTTTATTTGGTTGTCGATATTATTATGACGTCACAAAAAAATGGGAGATTTTTATTATCATTATTATTATATTTGTTTATTCAACCCTCAATTTAGCTTTTTACCCTTTGACCTCCCTCTCTCTCTCCCCCTTCCTTTTCCTACGTGCCTTTTTTTTATTTTTCGTTGACAATAAATTTTTATTTATCATTCAATCATATAAAAAAAAAGGAAAATAATAATGACAATAATAATAATAATAATAATAATAATAATAATAATGATAATGATAATAATAATAATA